TTGCCAAATAATGCACTACAATGGCCAAGTAACTGTCGAGCAATAACAAAAACAACAACAAGAGTATAACTAAAAAAAAACACCAACAAACACAGTCACAATTGGACAAAAGTATTCTGAGGAAACTCATCTGCCCGGCGAGCAGACGAACAAGTGTGCGTGTGTGTGTATGTGTAGGTGAGTGAATTAGTAACTGTGCTGTTGCAGCCGTTTAGCAACACGTTACTCGATAAAGTATACACTTTTTATGTCACCTTGCTGCTGGCTCTATTCTTTTGGCGCGCAAAATCAGGACAACTTGTCTGCCTCGGCCGAGACAAATAGACGACAGACAGGTTGTCTTGCATTGTTTTGGCTGAATGAATGTTGCACAAGGTGCAACATCGTTAATACGGTTTTGTGTGTTGCAATTCTTTTGTTGTTTTGCATTCCCATTTGCTACACATGCCGGTGGCTGTTGCAGGATTCTACGAAATGCTCGGCTTTTGCGTCTATGACCAGGTTTTGTAATTCCAAGAACTGTTTGTTGCAACCTAATGACAACAATTTCGTACTACTTGATATATGTATAAGAGTAGATCATTTTATTAATTTCTTTGCTGTATGCCGTAACTGTAAAGGGAATTCTCAAGAAATTCGAAATCTGAAAAAACAAGGAAGTGTGGCAAGGTGTTTTCTGTATTCACAAATATTTGAAAATTTTTATTTAATAAAGAAATTTATATGGCGCTTCTTATCTAATGGATATTGAAATCAGCTTAAATGAATCGAGATAGATCTAAGGAACTTAACATTCATCATCAAAAGGTTTTGAACCAAGAAAGCTTGAAGTTTGAATTGTCTATGAGTCAAATACGGCAATAATGTTCGAAAAATATCAAGGTCCAAACGTGGCGAAGCTTGTTGGTCGCAAAGCCAGAACGCATCGAAAAGTTATGCTGAGAGTTTGGTGGCCTGTTCAAATGATTGATTCTACATTTTACTGTCAACAACTGATGAGATTGAAGCAAGCAATCGAAAAAAACCGTCCAGAACTGATCAACAGAAAGAGCTTCGTCTTCCATCAGGACAATACACATCTTCGATGACTCTGCAAAAACTGGGAAAGTTTGGCTAAGAAGTTTTGATGCATACAGCATATAGCGCTCAGTTTGCACCATCGTTCTACCATTTGTTGTAGTCAATACAGAACTCATCTAATGGAGTAAAGTTGACTTCAAGAGAAATCTGTGAAAATTACTTTTCGCAGTTTTTCGTCGAGAAAAAGTTTTACACCGATGGATTAATGTCTCTAGCGTAAAAATGGTAAAAAGTGGTCGACCGAAATGACACTAAAGTTCATTATAAATAAAAATAAATATAAGTTGAGGTTTGATAAGAAATACGAAAAGATTTTTTCGACTACCCAATATTTTATGAATAAAAGAAATCTTGAGATTAAAAAAAATCAGCTCTTTTTTTAATAAACTTTGGAAAAAGTCGGACCAGACTCCCCCAAAACTGTAAAGAGATCAAATAGTCGGAGTTCAAATTAGTTTATTTGGACCCTAAATGTAGGCAACACTTCCATACAACTATCAAAAATATATTAACTTATTGCATATAAGTATTATTTAAACCTCCCCAGTTCAAGTAAAAATTTATTGTATATTTTACAATGATTGATTTAAAGATTAGTTTATTTCTAAATCTAAGCACAATTTGTCTATGGCCTTTTGACGACAATATTAAGTTCTGGATGGAATAGTGATAAAGTAATATGGCTTAAAAATTGCCTACATTTAGGCGCAGTACTGAACTGTAAAATTTACTGTTTATATGCGAACAGTAGACTTCATGAAGTCGGTATTCATGTTAATTAAACAGAACCCTAAATGTAGGCAACACTCTCTTTATGGTGCTTCGAATAATAATTAATTAATTTTATTTGAGCGTTGCCTACCTTTGGGCGTAGTGCAGGACTCAACAAAATGGCATCGAACTTAAAAAATAATTTTTTGAAATATTATGTAAAATACTTTTGAAACACAACACTACTTTACTTTCATATAAACAGTATTCAAATTAATTTATTTTAAACTAAATTAAAATTTGTCAATAAAATAAAAGAATATATATGAATTAAGCCTAGCCCACATTTTGACGCGGTACTAGGTTGTAAAACGTACTGAGTATATGATAATAGTAGAATTATTAGAATCGACAAAAAGGTTTGTTTACTAGTACCCTAAATGTAGGCAACATTTTTATTCGAAGATACATTTAGACGCAGTGCCAAACTACAGAAAAATCCGTCCAACTTAAAAAATAGTTTTTTGAAATCCTTCAAACTACAAAAATTTTTTTAACCAATTTTATTATAACTTTCCTGCAACCCACTTTAATATTTAATTTTATATTGTATTCCAACATATTTCGTTCTTAATCCAATCCCTTCTCTCCACAATCCCTACTCCTTTATTCTTCCAAAGCCACTTAAATCATATTGTCTACTTGAAAGGCTCACTGCACCAACGCAGAATTGCACCTTTCACTTTCACCTTCACCTGCGAATACATCCTCTATTTGTGTAGGTGCCTTTCGCTTTTCCCCCTCCAACACATTAATCCATCATTCAACCACAACTCAACACTTTACATTCGCTCTGATGAGGATCACAAAAGCCTTTACTCAACCGCGCACATGCACTCCTTTGCTTAAGCAAACAACCATGTATGTATGTATGTATGAGCGCATGCGCATTTGGCCACTGTAAGGAAAAATCCTTTCGAAATGTAGTTTTGTTTGTACGTATGAGTACGTACGTGTGCACATTTCCTGTCTTCGGCACATTGCAATGCAATGCAATCCTTTTTCTCTGTTTGCCAGCGCTCATACTTGTATGAATATTGTATTATTATTTCTTTAAAAGCAAAGAATGTTTACACAAAGACTTCGGCATGCCGCAGAAGACGATTTGTTAAATAAAAATTATATATATATTTACTATATAGATGAGTCTATGGCATTAGTTACGGATATTGTGCACTCGCTTGTTCTATATTGGCGCAAGAGCAGGTGCTGCTCAGGGCAGTGATTTCAAATATTTGCTTTGATTGCAAGGGGTTTAAGCGAGAGCTGTGGGTTTGATCATATTCTCTATATTCTTACAGACACATAAGCATACATTTATAATTTTTAAGTGTATATTTTTGGGAGAAGTAGTATAAGCTTAGCTGGTATTGCCAAGAAAATCTACTGCGAAAAGAAAGTCAAAGTCTCATTGGTATACAGACGGCTCGAAAGCTGCTAATGGAATTGGGGCTGACATTGTGAGACCACGATCCAAACTGTTAGTGCCCATGTGCATGTTTCTAGGCATTTTTCAAGCAGAGGTCTAGGACAATAGCAGATGCGCAGAGATCACTCTATAGAGAAACTATCACGGGAAAATAATTGTCATGCTCAGTGCTAGTCAAGCGGCGTTTCAGATAAATTCATCCGTTGAAATCAAACCAGCTATGGTACTGGAGTGTGCAAAAATGCTCCACAGGGTTTCCATCGAAAATAATATCTTACTAGCGTGGATACTTGGGCATAGAGAAATAAGTATAAATGAGTTAGTCGTCCAACAGGACCAGAACCGTTATTCTCTGGGAGGCCCCACACTTTACGAGAAGAGCTTCAAAATTAATTTATCTATCTAGTTAGTTCTCAGTTATGCTGATTTCAATATAATCAACTAATAAGAGATCACTAACTTTGATAACAAAAACATTCCATCGTTCCTAGTCAAAATAATACAATACTTTTTATATATTACTGAAATTCGAGATTCGGCCGAATTTAAGTTGGAAAATAAATTGTTTTTTAACAGGAAGGCAATGTCCGGCTTCCGACTTTATAACTAACATGATAAATCTAGTCATGAAAAAATCCATTAGTTTTTGAAAGAAAGAGAGTTGTATGTCTTGTAAAAACGCTCCTTTTGTCAGACTGATGACTCTCTAAATATTTAGGGGTTTCGAACGCTGCTCACAGTTGAAAACATATTTGTCGCAAAGAGTGAAGTGAGGTTCAACCAAAAGTACACTACTGGTATTTGCAAATGTATTGGAATCAAACAAAGTCAACCGGAACTGCGGAGTTATGGGAGATTTCCTGTATTATTTTGAGGTGAAGCTAATTCATATGAAGTGGATCTGCATGAATCGGTACGTTATAGGATTTCGAAATTATTATGCCTTAAAAACCGACAAGTTTTTCTTAAGCGCTTTGCACAATTTTCTCTGATTCGTAAAATATTCTCAAAATGCAAACATAATTTACATAAAGCTTTGACATCAATGTAAAATACTTTTTTAAAAATGTTCTGAATAAGATTTTTGTACAACAAGTATACTCTTAATATGTCTGCGTATGACATTTCATCCTTTAACGTTCAGTATAGATCAATCTTTAGCCAACTTTCGAACCTCAAATAGCAAAGGTTTGCCCCCAAAAAAGAGATCCATCGAAGTTTTAGACCCTACAGTCAAAATTAAGTAGTTTCAAATTCAAGACCATCGAAAGAATAATTTCAAGAGTAAAAATATTACATGACAGCATACTTCTCGAAACCCCTGTTGGCGTTTGGTCTACTAAATTTTATAGGTTTTAAGGAGTAAAATTGTGTACAACTTTCATAATCTCCCAATTCCCCTACCGACTTTGATAGTAAAATAAAAAGATATTGTTTATAGTTTCTTTGAGTATTTATTTAAGTTTAGTGTCCTCCATTTCGTAAAAATAACTTAAGATTAGGTAACTTAATGCAATAGTCCAACAGTTTTTTTTTTTTTCAATCAAAAACACTTAAATAATTTCAATTCATTATATAATAATTAGAGCCTAAGAGTCATAAGAGCTAATTTGGTTGAGTGCTGCGGGCTGGTGAAAATGCACCAACTAAACAAGAAAAATATACGAAAATTCTTAGAAATAAAAATATAATATCGTCAAGAAAAGAATTTAAATTAATTTAAAAAAAACGTGAAATAAAATAAAATTGTCTTACGTTTTCAAATAAAAATGATTTCATTGAAATTTTAAGCGAACAAAAAGGACTAGAACTTAGAAAACATAAACTCCTGCTATTACAACCGTTTGCATAGTTGCAACATTAAATTGTTATAATTTAGACTAAAAACTAATAAAAAGTAAACTGAACTTCGTTAAGTATAAATACTGAATATGTCAACGCACTGTTTACGCAACGCTACTGGCACTTGGTTTTTCGTTTCTCGTCAAGCTTCACTGATATCGACTGACATCGGCGCGAAGGCCGGCTCCTGCGACACTAGTCTACGCAATTGTAATGGTGCAATTGGAGCTAGTGTGCTTGTTGAGCAGCGACATGCGCGAGAAGGACTTGTGGCAGACCTTGCAGGCGTACTTCTTCACCTCCACATGGGTCTGCTGGTGGGCGCGCAAGTTGGAGCGGTCGGCAAAGGAGCGCGGGCAATCGCTGCAGTGGAAGGGCTTCTCGCCGGTGTGTGTGCGTATGTGACCCTGCAGCAGCCATGGACGCGAGAAGGCCTTACCGCAGATGGGGCACTTGCAGGGCAGGGTATGCGTGCGTATGTGCATTTTCAAAGCGCCAATGGTGGTGTAGAGCTTGCCACATTCGTGGCAGGAATGCTGCTTCTTATCCTGATTGCACTCGGCGGCCGGGCAATGGAATTGCTGATGTTTCGACAGCCCAATAACGGTCGAGTACATTTTATTACATTTGTCGCATTTGTAACGGTAACTGGCAGCCTTGTTAGCGGCTGCGGCGGCTTGCACCTCACTATTCGTTGTAGACTTCGTTGGTTTGCTGTTTAAGCTGAAGCTGGACAACGATTCGTTTTGATGATGCATTAGCGCCGGCAATGGTATATCATTGCGTAGACTCAGATCCTCTGGCTCGGAGCCTGCTTCCGAAGCGGGACTGGATGGTGGTGTCATTTGCTGATATGAGTACACCGAACGTGGTGAGGTGGCTATCGAGGAGGCTGGCGAGGGAAAGATCGCACTCAAATTGCCACCACTGGATGGCTGGTAGGCGCTCCAAAGCGCTGTCATGGGCGCAGCGCCGCCAGCGGCTAGCATGAAGGCGGTTTTGTAGTCCGTTGAATTTGTAGTATAACCGCTGGTAGCGGCTGTTAAGCCGCGTAAATGTATTGCGACCGCTGGTGCGGCTTGCTGTTGCAATTGTTGGTAATAGTCCGATTCGTAGTCTGAGGTGTAGGGCTCAACGGGTGACATCAACGCCGAACAAGTACCCAACTCGACAGAGTGTTGCGAGTGGATCGAATGCGTTGGCGAGTTGGCACGTTGTTGATAGGCTTTGGTGAAGGACGCATCGTACGCATTCGCCTCGTAACCGTCCTTCGAGAGGTTCAGTACATATTCGCGTTTTGCTGGCACGATATAATCCTCGAAGCTGTCTGCGGCTTTGCGCTTCAGCGAAAGATCTTGCGGCTGCTCGTTAGCCGAAAGCTCGTACCCAGCAACTGGCTGTGGCTCGCGCTTGATCATGCTGGCTGTGGCAAAAGCAGCGGCTGCGGCATAATATTGCATGGGATCTCTGACCGTGACTGTTGTTGTTTCTGTGTCTGCTTCGGTTGTATCCTCGTAAACGATGGGCCGTTTCTTGAGCGGGCAGCTCTTGTACTTTGTAGCTGTAGTGGCCATTATATTATTTTGGGTTTTCCGGGATTTTCGCAAATTTAATTTCGAACTTAAAATCGTTCATAAACTTTACTTTTTTTTTTTTGTTCTTTTGTCTTTATTAAAGTCTTTTTCACAAACTCTATTGCGCACTTCTTTATTTATTGCTTCTTCTGCTCACTCAAACACATACACAAACACACTGTGGAAGTTGGTGTTGATCTTTGGCGAAGTTTTGAACTGAATTCTAAAATTCTAATTGTGTTTGCCGTTTCTTGTTTTTTTTCGGTGTTCTACACTCTGCGAGCACTGCTGCTGTTATGACAGGTTCGACAACGGGCACGGTCTTTTATACATTATCAGAGTCAGTCTCGGTGAACTCAGAGTTTTTCGGATTCAACTCAATTGATTGCCACGGCCACGGCCAGCATATATTGTTGTTGGTGGTGGTGGTGSTTCTTCTCTGTTGACCGAAGAAAATACTAAACGAAAACACATTTTACCACGCACACGCACACACACCGCATAAAAACTCCAAAAACACTCGGGTAGTTCCTCAAATGTAGCTTGTTGTTTTTGTCACGGCTGCTGCCACCGCCACTGTAACTATTAACAATTCAAAACAATAATAGTTTTGCGCTGCCTTCCCGCCGTCATTTGGTATTTCCATACGCTCAGCTGCAGAAAATGTCGCCGCAGACGTACCTAGCGCCTTAGCTCGTACTACGCGACACACTCATACATAGGCGTCTGCACGTGCCCATTCATTGGGAAATTACGTACACACACGGAATCCCTTAATGCATGCGTAGACGTCGTCAGACAGCCAGCATGCTAGCCACCACCGCGTAGACAGCATCGTGCAACGCTCTATAACTTTTGTGTTTGTGTGTGCGTGTATTAAGTTGAGCATTTTACAGACGCGCCAGCTGAGTTTGAGTCACACCTTTTGCACATACACACATATATACATAGAAATATTGAGTGAAATGCTTTTGTTTACCAATAAGCAACCCCCCGATCTACACAGCCAATCGGCTAACTATCGCTACCACCTTTGAGTATAGCTCAAACGAACGCACGGTGGTTAATCTGGGTTCGTTAGGCATGCCAATTGCCTAGCCTATATTCCAAAACGCTCGGGATGCACGCATATTGACGCTAAGTGATTGCCTACTTTGGCAGCTCAGTGATCGTGCCTCACGAAAACTGAAGCAATTTCGATCCGATAAAGGAAGCTCAGTTACATTATTATTATTATGAGCAATGCAGTGCTTTCCCAAGAACTCAACTTCATGTGATTCCATCTCCATTACAGTACCCAAATTGCATATTTGAGATCTCTAAATCGATCGTTTGATCGTGTAGTTTACTCACACGCGATACAAGTACCCATTTAATACACACAACTTGGCTCCAATTTATTGCCAACTTATGTAGATCACTGATCCTGCCAACTCACGGGAGCTCACTCATTCCCCAACCATTACACGCACATACTCACACCTGAGTTGCGGTCGTTTGTGTGGTGTGAAATTTAAGGCATTACCACAACACCTTCTTTGCATTTGCGTTCGGCTGCGTTTATGTCTCCCATGTGTTGTATGCGAGGCACTAAGTATCTACACATGTATACGAGTATGTATATGTATCGTAATGGCATACAATCGATCGATTGATCGTCTGATCTCATATTTTTCGTTGACACATTTCCATCTCCATTACACACGTTGACTGCTGGCTGTAATAACTTGTCAAAAATGTGTCCCCCGAGTGCGTTGATTGGCGTGAAAGTAGAAAGTGATCCAGCGGCATCTACTTCGGGCTCCCCAAGTGATCGCGACATCAGTTTTCATACAAGCAAACTCCAAAATATGCATTTCTATGTACGTCATTATAAGGGGACCACAATCATTGTGTTTGTTGTTGTATGCAACACATACATCTTAATATATTTATAGGCGCGAATCCCCCTCGGCAGGTATGTCAATTTCCCACTTCAGAAAAATACTCAAAAACCCGTTCCGCTTCCATTACGTTCCGCATACTCTTGTGATGAGTTTTCCATTTACTTTTCCCCTTACTCCACATTAAACGTGCAACATTTATACACAACTCACGGCATTCGAATAAGAATTTGCTGGACACGCACAAACACGCACAGACGCGTTACAGAAACACAGGCGTCTTACATTTATACACACACTTGCATCTGTTTTCACCGCGTTTTGGGGTTGCTTCCAGTGCTATATGTCCGCTGCCTGCCGCTGCTCATTCCAATTGCTGCCTCAAAATGCTGCGCTTACACGATGATGCAACTATCGGTGCAGTCGCTTGAGTGATTCCGCGCTGCCCTCGTAAATTCCTTATTGCATTTCCTACGTCATTCTACTGCAGTCGCTGCACCTCAAAAGTGTTGTCATGCAACATCTGTTTTAAATGAGCTGAGCATTTTCATGTCCGCGGAAAGTTTCCGAATTCTTGGTGGGAAAGTTGAATGTGCTATATTTGAGTTTTGTATGTGCTATATATACATATGTGTGCGTGCATGTGTTTAGTTTTTCTGTAAGTTTTCGTCATCCACTGTTTTGCCTACTTTCTTCCGGATGTCATTTTTTTTAAATTTTTTGAAGGAGTTAATGATTTTGTGCTTCTGAGCTCCTGAGCTCCTGACTTTTTTTGTTTTTGAAGGCAGAACTTGTTTCTTTGACAATTTTGCTAAGATATTTCTATAAAGAATATTGGACAACAATAGCTTCAGCCAAGATAATATACTTCGATTTTATTCATTAGTCCGTTGTCAGTTTACGGTTTTGTGACAGATTTTATTATTGTGTTCAGAGTTTGTCATTTTATCACGCCACATCTCACTTTGATATAAAACCCTGTGAGAGGACTTTGCGCAATACATGACCTTCGCAGATGAGGTCCATTCCTGTCTTAATGGCTTCGTCAACAAACACAATTGTTGCTATTGAGGTGAGTCAAATCCTCATGTGGTGCAGTAAACGAAATTAGTTTTAAAAAATTTGAGAGTTTCTCGCGGGTTGTCCCCACAAAAATCCCATTTTTTCGACAAAATATCCTTCAAGTATTATACACTGACTACAGCGACCCCTCCAACTTTTCGATACCGGTTTTGTAGTACGAAGAACAAAGAACATTCTTTGCCCCAAAATGGGTCTAGTTTCGACAATCACGTTTTCGTTCAACGAAAATTTCTTCTCAGGGAGCATAATTTTGAGATCTGAAAACAGGAAATAGTCGCTCAGGATCAGATTTGGAGAATACGTTGGATGCGGAAGCATTTCGATGCCGAATTCATGGGTTGTGACTTGTGGCTCGGTGCATTTTCTTGGAGAAGCTTCACTTTCCTTTCCTTCAAATCTAATCGTTTTTCGGCAATTTTGTCCTACAAACAGTCTAATAACATTATATGATAGTCGCTGTTGATGGTTCTTCCTTTTTCTAGATAGCTAATAAAATGTATTCCATGCGCACCCCCAAATACAAACCCATTAACCATGTCAGCCGACTGATGAGATTTTCCACGCTTTAAAGCTTTCGTGAGCAGCAGTCCATTTGGATGATTGTCGACTATACCTCAGAGAGAAATGATGGGTGTTTCATTAATTGTCGCTTATCGACTAAAACTTTCGGACATATTATGCTTGAATATCTCCAAGCACAGCTCCAAATCATCTACTCGTCGTTGTTTTGGTTTATTAATTTATTATATACATATCTATTAATCCGAGAATTTCAAAAATAATTCTTACCAAAAACTTTAATATGAATAGTTTGTTCGCTTTTCAATTTCATATTTTTTATTTATCATTGCAAAGAAAAATTCTTGACTCAATCTCATATGTCTGTCCATCTGTATGTACGCAATCCAGCCTCACAGTTTTTGAGATATCGATCTGAAATTTTGCACACTTTCTTTTACTCTAGAAAAAAAGCAGTTCGTTTGTCCGTACTGCCGGTACCGGAACACTATGCCATACAAAACTGAACAATCGCAATGAAGAGCTTGCATGGCGAACTTTCTCATTTGAGAAAATATCGTCACAAAATAGTAGGATGGGTTATTGTTAAGGCATTCATGCAATATTCGAAGAAAATATATAAATCGGATCGCTATAGTATATAGCTGCCAACAAACTGAACGACCGGAATCAAGTTTTTTTCAAAGGATCTTTAAGGGTGAAGGGTATTATTGGCTTTCTTTCGAATCACAAATAACTCGTTCTTTGCATTTTAAACACCGCAAAATGTACTCCAGATTTTATACATAAATTGACTCAAAAAAGCGTATTCCAGTTTATTACACTTTCTTGGACGTTTGGACTTTTTAATCATATTTATGGAAGATACCACTGTTCATATATTTTTTTTATGATAAAAGTGTACCTATTGCAGTATTAGTTTCTAAAGACATTCAGCGTTTTCTTCTGCTCCCAAGCCGGAAAATGTAAAATGAATAGCATTATGCGGTTTCCCAGTATTAATGTACACATCGAATTTTTAAGATATGACTACTTGAATTAAGTATACTATTTATGACTGTAAATTTTTCAAATACATTATGTAGCCTGTTTGCGTCGTTATGACGTCGAAGCGAAAATTAAGCTTAAACCACTTGAATGAAATTCTTTCTTTTAAAGGCATCTGCTTTAAGTAAATTCATTAAGAGACTTTTTTTAGATGGAAAAGGAAGATAGTTAAGAAAACGCCCCTAAAAAAATTAATTTCAAAATGAGAAAGAAGATCACTTTACCTTCAAAAAAAGCCTCAAACCTTCTTACGATTATGAAGACTATTTCATATCATATCTTCTTAATCAAAATATTTATGTAAAAAATTGCATTATATCTTTGTTACCAAAATGAAGGCTTGTTCCATGTTCCAGAATCTATACTCTAGAATACTCATGGAATAACGGCAATTTAGCACGCACTTTAACAGAGCTGAGTCTCGAGATCACACAAGTATGTTGGTAACTTTCTGAAAAAGCAATAAATGTTGAAATCATATTTATAAAATTAAATTTTGAGTTCATAATATTTCAGAACTCTTCATAAATGAAGTTTGAAATCAGAAAAATCAATCACACTATGGATTATTACATATTTTGAGGTTATGGAGCGAAGCTAGTTTCGAAGAAGTTTCGACTTAATCTTAGGGACGTTTAAGATTTCCAAAACTGTAAAGCAAGATTTTATTTTTGTTTCAGAAAGCGCTGTCAATTTGGGACTATGAAAAAGTAGTAACAGAAAGCCCAGCCAGAAAACTTCGTGTATT